AACAGTTAAAAAGTGTTTAGATCAGTGGTTAGAATGCAACGAAATCTTACAGCATCCTTCAAGTAGAAGGCTATCATCCAACAAGAAAGACTCGTTTCGGAAAACGAAACGAGATGAACGGTGAATAAATTCATGAAATTGATACATAATTGAGCACCACAGTAGACTGTACCTAAACAAATATGCGCTAACGAAAGGGAATTCATCAGCTAAAATTTTTGACTTCCCCCCCCCCAAAAAAAAATAAGAGGCAATCCCCAGTAGCATGAGCTAAGGCCTACGGGATAAATTTTTTCCGGGAGCCGGAGGAGAGCAGAGGAGATTGAAAAATGCGGAACTCAAGCGGGAGCCGGAGCCAAATGTTCAAAGACTTTGAGGTACGGCTGGAGACGAAACTTTCGAAAACGTTAGCGGAGCCGGAGCTCGGCTCATTTTTTTTTTTGAAATTATGCATCACTGTTCATCAGTGAATGTGCTTATTTTTGCAAACAACCAAATTTCCACTGCGAACTTTCAACCGAGCTGACGATCAGCAGTTTAGCTAGAAAGTATCTGGTCAAACTGCTGATCGTCAGGTAACTGCTATGAAAAACACTCAGAAATTGCAACTCACCAGTTTTGGTAACATAGCGAAACGCTTGAAAATTAAACGAACTTAATGGCACGTGATATTACGGTGAATGTGAGCAGTTCGTATTGGAAAGATGAAATACGATAAGAGCAAATTAGTTGATTAAAAGGAGTCACATTCAAAGAGATTTGTACAGAGGAGGGACTTTATATGCGTGAAAGAACATCGAGTATCGTATTTGAGAGCATCATCAGCGCTATGGCATCTATTCTTTTCAGTATCGTTCAATTATCCGCTCTAATTAAGTATTCTTGCTGTTAACACTTTCACTCAATGNTATTCTTTTCAGTATCGTTCAATTATCCGCTCTAATTAAGTATTCTTGCTGTTAACACTTTCACTCAATGTGTTACTTTCAAATTTCATTCACTTTCACCTACCGTTTGTAATCTAGAAACATAAAAAAACTCGGCATAAACGTTTTGATTCACTTCATTTATAATTATGCACAACCTTAATTGCAATTCACAATGATTACATAGATAAACTGATTCGTTGAAATAATAAATTTCTTCCTAACTGAATGCTTCAACACCGTATAACGACCATACTGTAATAAGCATGTATTTCTGCTCTGTGAGTAGTCAATAAATGCCAATGCTCATAGATCGAGCATAATCATTCGATAATTGATAACTCACTTGCACATTTTGGCTTCTACCTATGAATTCTACTTTTATAGAAGTTATTGTTAATCCTCTTCTAGGAGAATGATTCAAAGTCATTATATGCAAACAAGCACAAAGAAGCCAAACAATAGTAATCGACGAACGAATCCTTTAGACTTAAGTACAAACCTCATGGAGTTGAGCTTGAGGACCACTTTGATAAGTCTTCAATACGCCATCGAGCATCATCGTAGGCGTTTGGGTGTAGCCGAATTTCGGCTTTCCTGAGGCAGTGAGAGAGGGACCCATCCCAGTGGCAGTGTATGAACTAAGAGCATTGGAGGATGGTTGTGCTGCATAAGCAGCAGCATTTAATGATGATGTGCCCGCTAGTAAGGTACCAGCTTGCGCAGCACCTACCTGTACACCA